GCATACAATCACAAAGGCAGACACCGATTAACCTATAATAATATACACACACACAACGCAGACAACAGCTAATGACATCTAGACATACACATTACACCCAAACACTCACACATACACACGCGCGCGCGCGCACACACACACACAGACAAACAATACTAACAGTTCAATGAGTTCACACAAGTAGTCGTAAACTTGCATGGCCTCTTCTTCATCTTCCCAGATAGGCAACCAGGACAACCAGAGTGATAGTACCTCATTCATGTTACTAATCTGACTACTGTTGTATCTATTCGATATGAAAAATTTTACCAGTGAATGAGTGAATGAATGAATGAATAAACGAAAAAATAAAAATTCTTTAATGAAAGTTAGGTGGCTGGCTCAATTTATAACAGAAAAAATGATAAAAAAATGTCATGATGTTACAACATTACGAGAAGAAGAAGCATAGCAAATAATAACAGAAAAAGTAGAAATAATAAATATACAAATTTTCCCTTTACACACACATACACACACCACAGGACACACACACCACAGGACACACACCGACAGGCACCTGCAAATTTTAGCGACGGCAGATATGGCGTTTTCAGTGGCACAGACGTTCTCTGGCGATCGGGAGGTGGCTTCTTGGATCACTCTCGTCAGCAAAGGGAGTACCTCTGAATAATAATCATCATCATTACCATCAAGAATGAGTGAGCGAATGATTAATTAAATAAATGACTGATGAGATCAGGTAATAACGTATCCAGAATTCAACACATAACCTTTTAACTAAATCAATCAAAAAAGTCATCCTCATCACCACAATGAATGAATAAAAGAACGAATGAATACAAGAATGAACGAATAGAAGAACGAATGAATACAAGAATGAACGAATAGAAGAATGAATGAAGGAATGAATAAAACCAGTAACCAACCGGAGCAAGTGCCAGCGAACGCAGGACCGCCAAACTTAGCCATGACTCCAACACCGTAAGCCGCTGCCTGTCTGACCTCAGGCCTCTGATCCGTTATGCTCTTCACCATGCTCTCCAAGAAGTACTGGATGAACATCTGTGATGACTGGAAATGATGGTGGTGATTGAGATGGTGAAGAAGATGATGATGATGATGAAGATGGTGATGGTGAAGAAGATGATGATGAAAAAGATGGTGATGGTGAAGATGAAGAAGATGGTGGTGGTGATGGAGATGGTGAAGTGATGGTGATTGAGATGATGATGAAGAAGATAATGGTGATGGAGATGGTGAAGATAATGAAGAAGATGTTGATTAACTAAACAATAACAAAAAATGTACAAGGTGATGGACAATTGAGAGATCATCATCATCCTCATCATCATTATTATAATTATTATTATTTATTATAATTATAATTATTATCGTCATAATTATAGGTACATACCGGCCCAGCAAATTCAAGGAGGTCATCAAAAATACACAATCCCCACTGTCTGTCTGACCATGGTCTATCAGGGGACTGTCATGATGACGGTGATGAAAATGATGATGATGATGTGATGATGATGAAGATGATGATGTGATGAGGAAGATGATGATGATGAGGAGGAGAAGGATGATGACGATGAAGATGATGGTAGTGAAAAAGATGATGATGATGAGGAAGATGTGATGGAATGATAATGATTGACGCATTTACTTAACTCATTAACCAAACAAGCAAGCATCCAACCAACCAACCAATCAACCAGCCAACCATTCGACCAACTAACCAACCAACCAACCAGCCAACCATTCAACCAGCCAACCAATCAATCGATCAACCAGTCAACTAACCAACGAACCAACTAATCAAAACTTACAATTAGTCTCACGAACTGGGGAAGAAGTTGCTGAAAGTTAGGCAAGTACAACTCTTTGTAGGTGCCAAAAAGTGAATGTATGATGTCGGACACTTTACTAAGTACCAGATTGTAATCATTCTCCTGTAGTAAATCAAATAAATAAAGACAATCACTCACTCATTCACTCACTCACTCATTCATTCACTTATTCACTCACTCATTCATTCACTTATTCCACTCACAAAGACATGCACTCAGACATACACAGACAGACACACACTACACATACACGGGCCTACATACACATACATACGCAAATTTGGTGAATGATGATAACGATGATAAGAAATTGATTGATACTGATGATGATGATGACACAGATAACAATAGTAATAAAAGATGATGATGATAATGATGGGTTAAAAAATGAATAAAAACCTCCTCTGATTCATTTTCTTCGTCATAGTCTTCATCTGTCTGTTTTTCTGACAAAGAAAATCATTAGATCAATCAATCAATCAATCAATCAATCAATCAATCAATCAATCAATCAATCAATCAACCAATCAACCAACCAACCAATCAACCAACTAATCAACAAATATAAGCTAACGAACTAAACAATAAACCGAATGAAACCAGATAAGCAGAAGTTGCAATGACAGCATATAGAAAAACCAGGAAAAACAAATATAATAATAACAACAATAATAACAAATAATAATAATAACAGATAATAAAAATAATAATGAAAAAGAACCTTTAAGTTTTTCTTCGTGTCTTTTGAAATGTGTCTCAAGTATGTCGTTCAGTATGACAGACAGTTTCTGCATCAGCTCATCAGTTAGACAATTCACACCCATCAATTCTATACACTGTGTGTGTGTTCGTGTGTGTGTACGTATGTGTATGCGTGAGTGTGCGTATGTGTATGTGTGTGTGTGCGAGCTTGTATGGGTGCATGCTGGTAAATACAAGACTGTATACGTACAAACATATACAAACAAACATATGTGTGCATGTATTTACGTATGTGTATGTGACAATAATAAAAATAATAATAAATGAATAATAATAGCAATAACAATAATGAGAACATTCTTTTATTTTCGTTTTAAAACATATATTGTAATTATTAAGTTAAAGTAATAAAACCTATAATGTAAATCATATAGATATTCTACAATGCTTGCCATACATTTTAAATTGGCACGGAGAGAAATAGAATCAGCATTAAATTATGATAATAAATAAATAAATAATTATAATAATAATAATAAATATATAATGATAACAATATTCAAACCTGAGAAAGCGAGCTCATGTGTTCGGCCTTGACGCTGAGTTCCGGGTCAGACTCGATGGCCTTCAGAAGTTCAGGGCAGATGTACTGCCAGATGTTTCTAAGGTACTCCGGGCCCTTAATCTGGGCGCACTCCAGTAGGGGGGGTAGGCATTCGGCCGCCGCTACCCTCACTCCTGATTGGTCGGTGATGGTGCGTGATGGAGTGAGGGGCATGCAGGTGAAAGAAGAAGATAGTCGCGCGATGAACGATCAGCAGAATAACTAATTGATGAAGAACCGTAATGACTGAACGATGACGTAATAATAATAATGAAATAATAATAATAATAATCATCATCATTCGACCGATTGATGAAGGAAAGATGGAACAGTTGACTGACCTTCGTGGAAGTAGAACTTAAGATGCGAGACCATGATCTTGACGACCTGCTCCGTGTACTCCACAAAACCACCTTCGCAAATGAAGATGAAGGTGACAAAGACGATGGTGAAGATGACGATGGTGAAGATGATGGTGATGACAATAATGACGAAGAAGGTGATAACGACGACGATGACAGTGGTGATAAAAAAAAACTAATTAACATAACTGACCCTTCAATTCTCTGGCATAGCACACGAGCATCTGACAGGCTGTAGCCTTTTCCTCAAGGCCAGCTGTTCGGATCCCAAAACTTTGCTGTGGGTGATAATAACAATAACAATAACAACAACAACAGCAACAAAAACAACAACAAAAAACAACAAAAACAACAACAACGACAAAAACAACAATAATAATATTAATAATAATAATAGTGATTGTAACAATAACAACAAGAATAATAATAACCTGGTCTTCCAATGTAACGAACTGCCATTCATTATCATTCTCCAAGACTTTCATATCATCACCTGGTTTTATATTTTTTGAAATTAAAAAAAATGGTACTAACCCTAACCCAACAACAACAACAACAACAACAACAACAACAACTACTACTACTACTACTACTACTTACAATAAATACTGTCACTATTAATAATAAAAATACGAAAAAAATAAAACTCTCTCATCTTAAAAAAACCCCACTAACTATCCAACAGAGCAACTTCGGGTTTGAACGAGGCGGCCTTGAGTACGGGCTCCATTACGAGGGGTAAATAGGGCTCGAAATCCCTCCCCATTATCTTGCAGATGCGGGCCCAGGCCGATATCAGGTAGGATATCTACGGTGGGAGTTAGGTGATTATGCGATATCATGATTCTTCTTAGGATAAAGAGAAGAGCATGGTGGACTTGATGGTGATATGATTGAAATATAAAACCGATAGGAAACCCAAATTCCACTTTTTATGAAATAATGTATCAACGAAAATATGATAATATGATGATGATGACGACGACGACGATGATTACTTGTGGATCGTCATCAGGGAGGTCTTGCCAGTCAACGTGTGTCTTCAGGAGCAGCTCCATCATCTCACTGCAGTCTTGCATGAACTTTTTTTCAAATCACAAAAAAAATGTTTTTTAATATTTAGTAAAATTTTATCTTATAATTATCCAAATATTTGTTTTAATTAAAAAAAATTGAATAAATAAACAAACAAACTAGTAGATAAAAGTTAACGATTAGTCATAACGTAAAAACCAACCAACCAATCATGAAAAGACAATCATCCAACCGACCAATAAGAACTCACCTTTTCCTTTCCAACAGCCAATCCGATGAGAGATATACATTCAATGGTTTTGCCCCTAAGATTTCTAAGCTCCTGACTGGTTGCATTCTGAAAGATGTACTTCAGGCAGGGCATGAACCTTGATAGGATGAAGTTCTTTTACTTTATAAATTAATCATAACAACGCGACAGTAACACATCTTAAAGATAAAAACCAATGTTGACATCATCGTCTCCATCACATTAATTCATCAACTCTTCCACATCATCATCATTATTACATCACATACTCACCTGTTCTGGAAAATAAACAACTTTTTGATAGCATCACCACACCTTACCACATCGCCACATATTACCAAATAGACACATACCACCACTAGCCACACATCATTACCACACATTACCACATCATCACATAGCCACATACTACCACTAGCCACACATCATTACCACACACTACCACATCATCACATAGCAACACATCTTCACCACAATATAACATCATCACATATTACCACACATCACTACACACATTACCACACATACAACCTACTCACTTTGGGTAGTAGACTTCAAACTTCTCTTGTGCAGTATCGGCCACAGACGCCAGTGTCGTCACTACCTGCTCCAGAACCAGTTTGTTACCCTTTTCAACCAGCTTTAACCAAGTTTAACAATCATGAATAAACATTAATTCAAACATTGACAGACAACGTATAAAAACTCTAAACGAAATTACATCTACATAAATTAACATAAATTAATAAAAATTTCAGACATTTTTATTTCTACAAACAACCCACTTAACGCGCACACACACGCACAGATACAAACACACACACAAACAACCCGCTTAACGCGCACACACACACGCACAGATACAAACACACACACACAAACAAACCTCATTAAACTTAGTAGTGAGGACACATTCCAGTTGGTTCATGATGGGCTCGAGGAAGATGGTGAGTATATGCTTGGGGCAGTCCTCACTGAAGTTAACAAGGGCTGCCCCTGAATGGGCCTGGACCCTGGGAAATAAGAAGTTCTCCTCCATCACTCGCAACAAACCTGGCACTATCTGTGTGTGCGTGTGTATTAGTACGTTTGCATGTGAGTGTGTGTGAGTACGCGTAAAAAAGTACAATTGCATGCTGGCAAACAACTAACCAACCAAACAACCAACCAACTAAACAACCAACCAACTAAACAACCAACTAAACAATCAATCAACCAAACAACCAATCAACCAACCAATCAACCAACCAACCAACCTTGTCAGCAAACTTTTTCTGCAGTGCAGGAGCGAAATCCGTGGACATCTGACCGATTGCATTGCAGGCTGCGTACCTTACTCGTGGATGCTGTGTTGTTTGTATTGCGTAATTTTGTAGTGTATGTCTTGTATTGTTTGTTTGTATTGTACGTATTATACAGGTTGTATTGTATGTATTGTATAGTTAGTTTGTATTGTATTGTTAACTTGTATTGTATGTATTATACAATACAGGTTGTATTTTGTATGTATTCTATTGTTAGCTTGTATTGTATGTATAATACAGATTGTATTGTATGTATTGTATAGTTAGTTTGTATTGTATGTATTACACAGGTTGTGTTTGTTAGTTTATATTGTATTGTGTAGATAGCATTGTATAAGTCTGCTTTGTATTATGTATGTATGTAATCTTGGTTACTGTGTTGTTTGTATAGCATATATTGTATTGTAAGTATTGTATAGTTAGTTTATATTGTATAGTTTGTATATTGTATTATGCAGGCCGTATTGTATTGCATAAGTCTGCATTGCATTATGTATGTATAACAACGTATTGTTTATACACATGTAGGGCATTATGCATATTGTAAAGTTGTTTACCGTAACGTAAACAACCACCACCACCATCGCCACGACCACCACCATCACCACGACCACCACACCACCACAACAACAACGAACCTGATCTTGGAAAAATGGTAAGATGGCTTCGACAATGCTGGGCAGTACTTGGGTCATCTGTGCGTGGCAACCCTCGCCACAGGCTGAAATCGCCATCAGACCCGCATGTCTCTGCTTCCAATCAGCTGTTTGTGGAGGAAATGGGATGACGACGATGACGTCATTCGCCCGTGTCACGTGACGACGTGGTCATGTGATGCGACGGTTTCAAAATGACAATGTGATTAAGGTGATAATCAAAGAAAGCAATCATTTGACCATGTAATCGACCAAGCAATCAACCAACCAATCCCCAGCCAACCAATCCACCAACCAATCAATCAACCAGCCAGCCAACCAACCGTTCTGAAGCATGACAGGTATGATGGAGATGATGTGGGGCAACATTGTCTTGCCTCCAAGACCGCAGCAAAGCCTGTCCAGTGCACTTTCACCAACAACTGGATTGCTATGACGACGACGATGATGATGAAAATAATGATGATGACGATCGTGACGATGATGAAAATGATGATGATCGTGACGATGATGATAATGTGGATGATAATGACAATGAAAATAGTTACGCCAACATTGAATTGTTCATTCTTATTCAGTAATTCACTCAATTAGTTTACCCAATTATTCATTTAATCATTCAAATAATCAATAATTCATTCGTTCATTCAGTCATTAATTCATTCACTCGAACACTCACTCACTGACCTTTCATTATCGCTTTCCTCAATTTCATCAGCTATGGCCCAATCATCGTCATCATCAAGATCAACCATCATCATCAGGACGAGACGAACTACGACGACGACGATGATGATGATGGTAAGATGAAGATGATGATGACGAAGATGGTAGTAATGATAATGATACACCAGTATGATCATGTTGTCAATAATAATGATAGTAGTGTAGAGAATGATGATGGTGGCAAATTAATATTATTATTATTATATATTATTATTATAATCACTATTATTATATTTTTAATTATAATTACTATTATCATTTAAGTCACGTGACACAGGACCGACCTAGTGTGGTGATAATCTCAGAATGTTTCCTCATGATGGCTGAGGCGTTCTCGGCGAAAAGGACGACAGACTCCAGAGCTAGGTGCTTCCAGTTCTCTTCTATCTTGTCATCTGATAAGACCTGGAGTTTGTTGATTGATTGATTCTCTGGTTAGTTAGTTGATTGATTGGTTGGTTGGTTAGTTGATTGGTTAGTTTGACTGGCTGTTTAGTTTAGTTTAGCTAACTGATTAAAAAACAATGATGACAAACTACAAAGACAACAAAAACAACAACAAAAAAATGGAACAAATCAAAATGGCCAACAGAAAACCAGAAAGAACCAACAAATAACAAAGAAAACAAACCACAAAGACAAGCGCAGAACCAAAAGCAAAAACAAAAAAACCTCACCTTTATGATAAGATTGAAGTACATATCGAGCTGGAACTTGAAATACTTTGGTACATACTCCGAGATGTCAATCAGACACTTCAATAGGCTATCATCTTCCAATTTTTCAATTGACTCTGCTATGCACTGGTCAGAGAAAATTAATAATATTAATAATAACAATTCAACAACAACAACACACGTTTAGACGACATTTTCCCCGAGATCGGGGGTTGCCGTTTGGCTACCTATGATGAAACCAGTCACTTCTGTCATCATAAGTAATTTATTTGGCTAATTTTTATGCAGAACGCCCTTCCTTACGCAACCACAGTTATAAGCGGTGGGCCTAGCCTTTGATGATCCAACATCACTCACAAGGCAGTGAGGGTCAGTTTAATGTCATAACCAGGACATAATATTAATAATAACAATAATAATTACAAACACACACACACACACACACACGTGCACACACACACACACACAAACGCTATAATCTACCTGTAGCATGTAGGGCAGGAGCTCTTTGAAATGATTCAACAGATTGTTGTCGGTCTCATTGGCAGTGAGAAATGAGGCTGTGGCCTTTGTGGCCTGGGACCGAATCTAGGTGAGGTCATGAGGTCAAGATCGTAGTAATGATAATAATGATGATGATGATGTTGTAGTGAATGGAGGGATGTTGATCATTCTAATAAATTTCTACTTGATCAACCCACATCCACTCAACCAACCTATCAATCACTCTTTCAACAGCTTATAAAGTTGATCAAAAATTCAATCAACCAATCAATCAACCAATCAATCAATCAACCAATCAATCAACCAATCAATCCACAAATCAATGAATTAACTAATCAATCAATTAATCAATCAGTCAATCGTACATTGAAACTTGATTGGTCAGTTAGAGATTGCAACAACATCCTCTTTATAACATCCAGATATTGGTTCTGATCATTACCAAATATGCCTGGTACTGAACTGTCCATCCATTCATTCATTCATTTATTTATTTATTCATTTATTGGAGAGACCAAGTAAATTATTAAAAATAAATGATTAAATAAATTAATTTGATTAGCTTTCTGTTTAAAACTACTACAAATTAATTAATTAATTAATTAATACAATTAGTTAATGCACAAGTGATTTCAATCGGACATGAAGGATTATTAAATTAGGAAGAGAATGTGCACCTGATGCAAACTCTTAACTATTCAACAATATAGAAAAAGTGCCAATCCTCTTTTGTCTCAAAAACTTTCAATTTTTTTTTAATTTTGACTTTGGGAGGACATACTTTTAACTTTTTAAAAAATGAATATTCTTTAATAAAATATAATGGCTTTGTTATTTTTTAATAATCCAAACATCATCAGAGATCTCCTAAGAACATACTTATAAAAGAGAAAGAAAGAGGAAGAGAAAGAGAGAGATGGAGGAACGAAAGTACCTGAAGATGATAAGAGCACACTCCCTGGCATCAGCATCTGAGCTGTGGGCACATTCAAAGAGGAATTTGATAAACTCTGGCCATTTGTTCACTCCATCGTCTGAAATTTTTAAGAATTTTTAATTTTTAATAATTAAAAATTTTTAATTTTAGAGGTTTAAAAATGTTTTTTATTACTTATAAGATATCATAATCTAGAGATAAATAACATCAGAGGTACTTTGTCACCAAACATTAATATTCTCTAACAATTATAATTTATATATAACCTGAATAACAACAGAAAGCAAGTTTATATAAGATTCTCACAGTATTTTAAATTAAAAAAAATGTAACTTATAAAACTAGTTATATAATATAACTGATAACGTGATGATCTATTTCATTCCTAAAACTGACATACCTAAGAGATTTCTAGCTAGTTCAGCCACCCCCTCACAGACTTTCTTCTTAATTGGACCATTCTTCTCTTGTTGTACACAGTTGATCATCTGCAACTTCAGCTGATTTTGAGATTCCTGAGGTAGCTGGGGCCAGAAGTCATCAAAGTTCGACACGTATAGTCTTCTCAGCAAAACAGTGGCCAGGCCTCTTACCTAACACACAGTTGCAAATTAGGAATAAAATTATAAATTATTAAAAAGTTTTAATTACTAAAAAATCAACTTCACAAAATTATTTACTGGTGATTTTTTGAACTTGTTAAATAAAGTACACAGTTAAAAAATTAAAAAAGCCTTCACCTCCAATGGAACGGATGTTTCAATTATCAACTGAATCAACCCTGGGATCTTCACAACTGCATTCATCGATTCGTACGAATCCTAATTTTAAATTCAATAGTTACAAATTTATAGAAATTTTACCGACCTTTATGATGTATTCTATTTAAGAAAAAAGTGAACAATGTGGAGTGAAGCATGCTTTTAAAATTTAAATGCTTAGAACTGGCTGATCAGACAAAAATTTAACATTAAAATTACATTTTTGAAACGTAAGTGTAGTTATACCTCGGCTGTTGACCGGATCGTATTGTCCGAACTCAACAAACTTTCAATCAGAGAACCAAACTGCGCCATGTCGGTCGCCATTACAAAATATTTTTAGAAAGAAAATAAAAAAAGAAACTAAAAGTGAAGTTACATTGTCTTGTAGGAATGTGCACAGTTGTCAATATTTTTTAAAAAATTAACAATAATTTAGCAAACCTAATTTTAATTAATTTTTTTTAATAATTTATAATTTAATATTATTAAAAATTTTTAATTATATAACAAATAATGATTTTAAAAAAGTTTATTGTTAATCATGCTTTTAACAATTTAAATAGAGTAAAATTTGTGGAAAAACCCAGCCCATAGCTAAGAACAAGGAAGTAACATTTTTGAAAACGGTAGAATTATGTGAAAATTATTTCAAAATTATTAATAACTTTAATGAAATAATTAGTACAAAATTTAATTTCTACAAATAAAGTTGTAATATAATGTTAACTGGCTTGAAAAAGGAACGAAAAAAGGCAAATTACATATACGAATATGGCAATACGAAAACGTTGCAGAAAGAAGATTCTAGTGGTGGGGAAAATTTGACTTCCGTGCTGACTTCGGATCAGGAAAAACTGAAAAAATTCAACGTTAACAGCCTGTGGTACCACGATAATATTAGGTGCAGAAATGCCGCTGAAACGCTGTTAAAATCATATGGTTTGTCTATTGAGTGAAAACTTGATTTCAATTTCAATTTTCAGATTAAATTAATAACTAAAATAATTTTAATTAATTAGTGTTAGTTAATTAGTTTAATTAATTAAAAAATTTAAATGACTGTAGTATGAGTTTTTAGGACAAGAAATGCATTTTGTCTGATATGTGATAAGTAATGAAATTTGAAACTTTCTATATTTTATGACTATAAGTCGTAAGATTAGGCCAGCACAACGAAGATGACATCAAGTTATTTAATTAACGTGTAATAACATTATTACTGTCATGAATTTGTTAACATGTGTCACATTAATACAATTATTACACATTACAACAATCATTATAGCATACATCATAATAACCATTATGCATCACTACGTTAAAAAAAGATTACATACCTGTTAAAATCACTAAATCAGATGTATACACTAACTCTAAATATGTAATAATTCACTAAACAATACATACATTTTCCCATTTTAGGCACTCAAAAGGACGGCCTATTTTTAGTTAGGAGAAGCACGGCCTGTCTGGACGACTTCGTTCTCTCGTACGCACACAGAGGTCGCTTGCTGCACTTTCATATAAAATACTTCCCCCACAATGATTCTTATTCCTTATCGAAGGCAGACGTTTCTGAGTATGAAAATATAAATGGTGGTCATAACTTCATTATTATTATTATTATTATTATTATTATTATTGTTGTTGTTGTTATTGTTGTTGTTGAAACATTTTATAATACTAATTTTGTAATACTAATTTTATAATAATTTTTATTTTTCATTCATTTTTTCTCACTCACTCACTTCAGGCGGCCTAAACACAGTCATTGACTACTATAGAAAGATGGTGATTGGCAGTACGTGTAAATTGACGGAGGCGTGCCCCGGGGGTGAAGTGGCTCCGCCCTTGACCTTTGCATTCGGGGTCACTAATTCTCTTCATACCGCTATCGAAAACAGTTCAGTGATTAGTAGTGAAGATTGTGGTTGTTGTGCGATTTTATGTTTGTTTGTCTGACTGTCCGTCTGTCTAACTGTCTGTCTGACTGTCTGTTTCTCTGACTGTCTGTCTGAATGTCTGTCTGACTGTCTGTCTGACTGTCTGTCTGACTGTCTGTCTGACTGTCTGTTATTTGTTCAGTTGTTTGTTTGACCTTTGTTTTTTATAATGCTATCAAA